GGGGCTGTATTTAGAGTTGTTGGATTCTCATCATCATTACTTCTGAGTGCCTCCCTCTCCTCTGACCCATGGGTATGGCTGTGGCCTCTCCCTGGGTTGGCGGGAAGTCAGGGGTTTCGGTCTCACACGGAGTTCTTCAAGCTGGGCGCTCACGTCTGCTTGGATTGCCTCGTCACATGGAAGACGTCTCTATTGCTCCCCACTGTCAGGGGAACCAAGGCTGTTCCCATTACTGCCTTGGCTGAAAGGAAACATACATGATCTGCAGGCTCATGAAATTAGATCACTGAGCTCTTCCCTCTGGCTTTCTGAGTCAGCAGGTCTGACAGGAGGCCCAGTAATCTACATGTCACCCTTTCCAGGTGATAGGGATGCTCCTGATTCAGGGACCACATTTTGAGAACAACTGGCCTAAAGAAACCTTTGCTCCTCCCCAGCCTTGGTTAGGTAACAAAGTCCTCCTCCTTGAACTTGAAGGCAGGATTGCCTGGACTGCAAAGTGCATGTGAGGTAGGGCAAGAGGGAGAATGTGGAGGAGGGTGGGTTCCCCACATTCTTATGATTAGAGTTGGCACACAAAAACGCTAGCTATTTAGGAGCCCAATAATGAACAAAGCATTGTGCGCAAATGTGACTAGGATGAGATTTCTGTCAATAAAGCACAAAACCACCCATCCGTGATCAGCACAGTGCTTTGTAGTTTATAAAGGGCTTCCATATACATTTTCTAATGTAATCCTTAGAGAGACCCTGTGAGTTGGACAAGGCATGTATAGTTGCCCCATTTTACAGGTGAGGAATCACAAGGTGAATTAACCTTTTTTCTTGCCTGCTGTATTCCAGGCATATTACATATAGCAGCTTACCTGGTCTTCCAACAACCCTCAGAAATAGGTATTATTACTTATCATGGAGATACGGGACTTTGAGGCTGAGGAACCTATTGATCTGTCAAAGATTGTGCACTTAATTAGCAGCAGAGCCAGAACTAAAATCAATTTCCTCTGACTCACCATTCAGGACTCTTTCTCAAACACCATATTTTGTGTGTATAACGGGGATGAAATTTATAAAGACTCGAATAGTTGTAGCTGAAGAGAATTTTGTTGTCCTTTCAAATTCTCTGAGTTCAGTTTTTTCAATCTAGGTTTCAGATCTTTTGTGAACGGAATCAAGATACTGGGGAGAGAACCTTGAAACAGGCAGACCAAGGTGAGTTATAAGAAGGAGGGAGTAAGTGGAGAGGAAGTGGTTGGGGAATGCCTTCTGGGCTGAGTGATGGAAGTTTTATGGATTTGGCAAGTGGGGGGATTCCAGACCAGTTGCCAGGTGGGACTGAGGGGAGGAGAAGGAGAGGAATATCACAGTTTGTCTGTGGCATTGAAACTGGGTCTTTATAATTATTTTTAAGAGATGCAGGAAAAATTGACATAAATGTAAAATAACATTTGGCACATCGATATGTAGTGCTGTATAGAGAATGGGTCGCAAGGGACCCCAGCTTAGAGGAAGGTTATTCATGCATGTGTTTGAAAGAGAAGATGCTTGAATGTGAAAGATAACGGTGTAAAAAAATGATTCAGTGACAGAGATACTTGGACTGGGAAAGAAAGAGATAAGGGGGAAAAGGGAAACAAAAGAGAGAGAAACAAGTAAGAAAGAAAATAGGGGGGATAGGTGTCCAAAAAAATTGACAGACTGTGTAAATCTAGACAGACGTATAGGGAAAATAAAATAGAAACCAAGGAAAGTAAGTTCGTCCCCTACCTGTATCCCAAGGCTCTCTGCTACTGCGTTTCTCCAACCTTTCAGCTATGATTAACTCTTAGGAACATATTTCCCCATTGCTACACACTACGTATACACATACGCACCTAGAAAAAAATTTTTTGTATTTTTAGGAACTCATGCTTACCCTGCAGTCCCCCATGAACCACATCTGCTAGTACTCACGTCCTGTGTCCTCCTCTCTCACAATGACCCTGGGCCTGGCCGAGTGACTGGCTTCTGCCAGCAAGACATTAGCAAGGGAGGTGCAAGTGGAGGCTTGCACCATGGGGCTTGTCCTTTGCAGGTTAGTCTTGGGATGTACTCCCTTGGAGCCCAGAAGTCATGTTGTTGAAGCCCAAACGAGTCATATGGAGAAGCCCCCTGTTAGAGCACGGAAGCCCTAGCTGACCACCCCAGCAAAGCTCCCCGGCCACAGACAGACCAACATGCCAACCACGTGAGGGAGGCTTCTTGGAACTGGGTCCTCCAGCCCTTGTGAGTCACCCCATCTAACGCCCATGGAACAGAGAGGCACTGTCTTCACTGAGCCCAAATTTCAGAATCATGAACAAATGAATGTTGTTGTTTCAAGACCACAAAGTTTTGGGGTTGGGTTTGTTATGTAGCAACAGATAACCAGAAATTCTTACTATACGCAATGCACCATGATATGTTCTATGACAGTTCATTCTATTTTATTTTTCAAAGTGCTGCATTGATTTCATGACCCACCGATGAGTCATGGTCCACAGTTTGAAAAGTGTTGCTCTAATCAATGTGTTTGAGATGTCTGTCCTCTCCCTCTCCCTCTATCCTGTTGTTCTAAGAATGATGACATATAAGAGGTCACCCAGTCCAGGACTGTGCCTCAGAAAGGGCTGCTCCAGAAGCCATCTGGGTCTCCAGGTGGACCTTTCCTTTCAGTAGATAGTATTACTCAGAGGAAGTCTATAGCCTTTTTGTATGCTTGCTCCGAATCTTAAAAGCACAATTTACAGCCAAGCATTGTCTCCTGGTACCCAGTTCTGCCAGATACTGAATTCATCCCCTCACATGGAGGAAGGGTATGACTCCCCCCATACCCATCCTTGTACCCATCTACATCTCAAGTCTCTGGGTTAAATAAAATGAAGCAGGCATCTTCTGATGTCATTCAAGTTTCCTGTGACACCTACCAAATAAATGGTTTCTTCCTCTGATGCAGTGATTCCTGAATCATATTCCACAGACCAAATGTACCAGAACTGCCAAGGGAGCTTGTAAAATGCAGATTCCCAGGCCCCACTAAGTGATATGGTCTCAAACAATCTCTGGAGGGAATCTCTGGAGGATGGTGCCTGGAAATCTGCATTTTAACAAGCTCTCCAACTAGTTCTGCACATTGGCGTTTAAATTCAACTATTCCAAATGCTATAGTCTGGGTCAGTGCATGTCAGCCTTCCTTACCTCAAGTCACAGTGAGAAATACATTTACATTCTGTCTGCATGCACAGGTACATGTATGTAAAGGAAACAGAAGCTTCAACAAACTCTAAATTGATGTATGCTACACTTTGACTTTTCTATCCTGTTTTGTTTTTTCAAATGCTGGCTGTCACTCATTAAACTGATGTGATGATTCATCAGCAGATCACACTATACAGTTAATAACAAAGCTGACCTAAGCAGACACAGGCTATGTGTCTCTTCAGTAGACATGGCCGACTGTCCAGAGTTTTGCTGTAATAATACTTGTTTGGAGTTGCAAGCCTGGTCTTCCTCTTTTTCCAACACGCCCTTTGAGTCTACTAACAGGGCTTGCATTCACAGAGCACTCACCTAACCTCCTTCCTTCTGTCAGTGCTGGGTGTCCCTCTGGGCCCAGGCTGGAGCTCAGGGTGCAGCTGAACTGGGGGCCTGGGGCTCCCTCCAAGATTCAGTTTGCATGAGCCAATAGCTCTAGGAGCTTTCGGTTGAGGGGAGATGGAACCAGGATGGGGCAGGACAGAGCAGGGGTGTGATGGCTAAGCCCTACTTCTTCCCCTTGATGAGCACCCCTGAGTCCTCAGGAAGCACGAGTTGGGGTTCAAAGTCCAAGAATGGAGTCCAGGAAAGGCCAGGTGAGCCTCTTTGCAAAGGCAGAGCTTCTTTGGTGTCCAGAAGACACTTCTCGGGACTGCCAGAAATGAATGGAGACCACAGCTGAGGCAGAATGCTGTGTGTGTTCATCTGTTATCCAATAATTTATGTAACCTCCTCTTGAATTTCTATTTTCATCTTATGTCACTTCTTGGCCTGTGGAGTTCCCTAGATTCACTACCTTCTATGTAAAGAGGCTTGCTTTCCCTAACCTGCCTTTTCCAGGTGCAAAGTGGATGACTGCCCCGGTGACGCCAGAACCAGGGACTGGTCCTGTTCCCTGCTCCATCCTTCCTACTTCTCAGTCTTCATCCTTCACCCTGATGGGGCCCCAGCTTCTCTGTCTGTCCTCGGAATTCAGCCTCTCTATCCTCTCCTTCATTTTTGACACTGGAGACAGCCACAGAAATCAAAATGCATTGAAAAATGTGCCATTTATGGTGTCCAAGAGAGCCAAACTGATCCCCAAATGATTGATTTAGTGGTTGCAGCTGGGCCTGGATGCAGACAGACAGCTAATGAGGTAATTTTTCTAAATGCAAAGTGTAAACAAGATAACAGCTCCCTCCCTCTCTGTGAGTCTCTTTGGGTTTCTCTTCCACTCTCTCAATTTTCTGCAGAGATGCACAAAACTGTTTGTATTTTTGCCCTGTCATGGGTTGAATTGTGTTTCCTCAAAATGGTATGTTGGGTTCCTAACCTTCAGTGTCTCAGAATGTGGCCTTATATGGAAACAGGGTCTTTATAGAGGTAATCAAGTTAAAATGAAGTCTTTAGTCTAATCCAATATGACTCGTGCCCTTAGGAAAAGGGGACATTTGGACAGAGAGACAGACATGCATAGAGGGAGGATGATATGAAGAGACACAGAAAAGACAGTGATCTCCAAGCCGAGGAGAGAGGCCTGGGACAGATTCTCCCTTGCAGCCCTGAGAGGGCCCAACCCTGCCGGCACCTTGACCTTGGACTTCTGGCCTCCAGAACTATGAGAGGAGTGTTTTTTTTTAAGCTGCCCAGGCTGTGGCTTTGTTGCATCAGCCCTAGCAAACTAATTGTAACACATACATCGAATGTTGTCTGCTTCTGTGTTCCTTGTGTTGTTAATTCTCCTCCGTGAGGCTGGGGGGACAAAGAAGGTGAAGGCTGAGGCAGGTTTCCCATGGGGCATGGCGGGTTGCCCTCCATTCCTTCAGCCACACTGGCCCTCCCGAAGCCCAGATGTGTGATGTCTTCACATGGTGAGATGTTTCTGTAAAAGTGGTAAATGATATTTAAATTGTAATCCATTAATACTGCTGACTCTTTTCACTACGGCGTCCCTCCGGTGCACTTCCCACATCAGGTGGTCATCACTGGCCACAGGGCACTCTTAGACCCAGGTGGAGGGAAGTTGAGTCAAGAGTGTATACAGTGGGGGTTCAGTGGCATGTAGATATGGTGTGTGGTCACTTCCACATAGAATTAAATGTCGGTACCGTCCCAATGCAGGAAAGCCTTCCAGCAATGCTTCTGCTGCCCTTGGCAACCTTATACCCTGTGATGTACACAAAGGCGCAGGCCGACATCCTATCCGTCTATGAACTGTGCCCGTGGCACCCAGCACTGGAAGTATGTGTGAGTAGGGGAGAAGAATCAGCTTTGAATTATGGAGCCAGAAGCTGGTCTGCAGAAATTCTTCCACTCATCAAATATATAAACTTGTAAGTCCCAGTAAATTTAGTTTTAGAGGAGCATGGCAACCAGTTAATTGATAAATATTTATTTTTGTGGATTGCGTGATATTTGTAGCATTTATGAGCTTTTTAGAATTTGTCATGTGTTACAGTTTCTTTTCTTATTTGAAATATCTGTTTTTAAGTTCATAGTGTTGTGGTCTTTCCTTAAAAGGGCTCCTAAAACTGTACAAGCTTCCAGCCCCAAAGGACTTGAGTTGACCCTGGGTGTGAGAAATGAAGAGGGAGAACTAGATGGGGCAGTGGGAAGTGAGGGGGCATTTGGGACACTGTAGAGAGGGGAGCATGGGGAAGAAACAAGTGGGGGAGAGTGAACAGGGCTTTGGACTGGAGTTGGAAGACCCACTAGCCGAGCCCGGCTCTGGTGCTTGCTCATTTTGCTGTGCGTTCCCAGACAAGGCAATGCTCCTCTTTGGAATTTCTTAATAATCTGCATAAGAGCTGAGAGCTTGTGTGGGGCAAACTCTGAAAACACCTTAGGGTCCACTAGCCTAAGATCCTGGCATCCTACCACCAAGAGGAGAAGCTGGAGCCAAAATGGTTAGTGACTGGGAGAGCCAGTGTCTGAGGGGGAAGGCACGGGAAGCGCCCATCTCCCATGGGGTGGATTTGCCGGGCCCAGCTGGGAGTCCCGTGGGACAGGCAGGGCCATGTGGGGAAGGTGAGGGCTCCACGGTCATTCACTCCTGTCTCCACTCATTCCTTCCTTCAGCAGCTGCCCACTAGGCAGATCCTATGTGCTAGGTCTGCACCGGGACCGTGGAAGTGCCAGGAAGGAGACACAGCCCTGCCTTTGAGAAGCTGCACGCCCGTGAGGGAGACAGAGCATCCACCAGGCAGCACCACTACAGAGGCATCCGAGCTCTCGTGGGACAGGCCACCTGCAGTGAGGCCACTTAGTGACGCTGGAGAGCGTGGCTGTGTGTGACCCAGGGGTCTAATCTTGACTGCACATTTGACTTACCAGAGAAGCTTCTGAAATAAATATGTGTATGTGGATCCACTTCCAGAAAATCCTGATTAATCTGGGATGGGGTCTGGCACCAGCATTTTTTAGAGCTCTCACATGATCACATGCAGCCAGAGTTGAGACGCCCTGTTCCAGAGAAGTGCTTCTCAATCTTAACTGTGCATGGGACGCTCCTGGGGATCTTGGTTGGTGCAGATTTTACTTAGTAGGTCTGGGGGGAATCCCCAGATGGATTTTAGCCAGCTCCCAGGTGACAGTGCACTTGAAGCAGCGAAGCTCTAAGCTCAGACCCCCACACCCACTGATCTCAGCTTCCTTACCTTCCCCCAGCTTTTTCTTCCAGCCACACTGGCCTTCTTGCATATCCTCCAATATTCCAGACTCACTCACTCCTTGGGATCTTTGCACATCCTCCATCTGGAACATCCATTCCCCAGCTGTCCCCACGGCTTGCTCCCTCATGTCATCCAGGTCTCCGCTCTAGTCCACTCATCGGCCAGGGCTTTCCCTGAGCACCTGACCCTCTGACAGAAAGTAGCACCCTCTCCAGTCTTTCTCCATCCCCATCACCCTGCTTTACCTCTCCCCATGATGCTGATCCCCACGTGGTAATAGATCATAGATCTGCATCCTTGTTTGTCATCTGCTGTCCTCACTGCAAGACCAGTCTTATGAGAAGAGAACTTTGTTTCCCTCCCTCTGATAACCCCCCATGTAGCAAAGTGCTTGGCAACTCAGGAAGTATTTGTTGAATGGAGAAAGGGGATGATAGGTGGAAAAGGGATAGTTAGAACTTGGGACTCACAGACTTACTAAGGCTGGCAAAGCCTCTGAGTGTAATCCAGTGCTCCTCAGTGAGTTTGCCGCTGAGAGTCTGGGTGGGAGAACTCTCTCATATGTCACTGTTCCAGGCATTGTACATCTTTTAGGATTCATGACCTTCCTTACCCACTAAATACCAGTAAGCATCCCAAGTCACTGGGACCCCCTTAGGTGGGAGACTGGGCCCCAGGTGAGAACCACTAATGTAGCTCAATTATCCCATTACATAGGTGCAGAAAGGTAAAGCCATTTGCCCAAGTGCACATAAAAACTTGGTATGAGAGCTTTGGCCAGAGTTTAGGAGTCTAGACTCCAGTTTATGGTAGGTGTTTTTGAACTATAGTACCACCACATTGCTTTCAATAAAGTCCTCCTGAAGGTCCTGCAGGGTGGGGCTGTGGCGGTCATGTTTCCCAAGCAGCCAGAGGGTATCGGGAGTTCTCCTACCTCACCGTGGGGTTGAGATCAGGGTATGTGAGGTTTGTATAATCCAGATCGTGCTAGAGAAAGCTGACAATACCTGGCCTCTTCCACACTGGCTACTGGGTGCCCTGGGAGGTGAGTCCCTCTGGGGCCATGACAAAGCACCCTGGCTGAGAGTCATTCTTCAAACCTTCTCAGTCTATTAAGGGAAATGCATTAGAAATTGACCACTAGTCAGTATAGCTTTGGGAAACCACTTTTATTAATCAACATTGATTTTATTCTTCAAAGTTAAGTGATGATGCTGTAAGTTCAACTAGGCAAGGGTTGTGGGACACGTTGGAGGTAATGGCTGTGCGCCTCAGGGTCCCGTGAGATTCTTCCCAGGAGAATGAAGGAGCTAGGTCAGCACAGCCTGGCAGAACACTTGCTCGGCCTCTGGTGGTTAGGGGTAGGGGTAGCTCTGCTGCTGTGGGCCTGGAGCCCTGCGGTAACCTCTTGGATGTGCATTGATTTGGCTGGGAGGGGTCTTGGGTGGCAACTTGAAGGCCTTTAGCGCACTTCACATGAGAATATGGTGGCCCGGGACTATTCCTTAGTCCAGAACAGGGATGTTCAGTGAGGGACATACATTTCATGTGCAGCCTGCTGCCCTGTGCTGGCACATAGTAGGAACATAATGTAAATACCATTCGAGTCAAAACAATTGAATTATGGTGCTCTAGCGCCTCTCTTTGGTCCCATAGAGGATTCAGGCTGTGGGAGGAGGGGTGGTGGAGGCTGCAGATGAGGTATTTCAAGTATTCCAAGGCCCTTCCAGCTCTGGCATTTTTGGGAGTCTGAGATGGACAGTTAGAGGCGATCCTGGCCTCAGAGCCTCGCTGACATGGCTGGTCCAGGTAGGAGGAGTTTGGCTCCTGCCCCATGGCAGGGTGGATACTCCAGGGTGGCTCTGCCCCAGGCCCAAGTGGTGGGGCAGGAAATCCACCCTTTCTCGAACTCACATTCCCATGGTTTGGTCAGCAAATGTCCACCCAGCACTTCCTGTGGCCCTCCCAACACTGTCCAGGCTCAGGGGGAGACACAAAGACATGACACATGGTCCCTGCCCTCAAGGGTCTGCTCAAGTTGAGGACACTGGCAACCTGAAGGAGCAACAGCAAAGTCCAGTGGAATGGCGGCTGTGGGCTTGGGAGCGAGATCTGTTTGGGAAACATCCTAAACACCTATGTCCTGAAAACACAACTAATCGGGCAATTTCCCAGCTTTTCCCTGACATGCATTTCTGTCCAGAACTATGATTCTGGAGCACAGCTGCACAGAACACAAGTTCTTGCATTCATGCACTGAATGAATGATATTGAACACCTGCCACATGCCAGGCACCCAGGATCCAAGAGTAACCAAGCAGAGAGCTGACAGTCAAATCAGGAAGGAGGCTGACACCACCAGCACCACAAAGGAAATGACTTTGAACTATTACCAAACTGTTCTGTTTTCCTTGGGGAAAGATTGGTCACCATGAGGAGGAAACAACATCTTCTTACCTCCCTTCCTGACAACCCCTGCGTAAGTGACAGATGAGCAGAGTCAGGAATCTCAGACAGAACTTAAACCTGGGGGCAGGATTCTGCCAGGTTGAAAGTCACTCAATTCCAAAACACCAGCTTCAATGCAAAATGTTAAACTCTGCTTCAGCAAAATTGCAAATTACCATGGGTAGGGGCTGATGGGTAAATGACCCAAACCGGAACTGTTTACCTGCTTTTGCTGAGGCTCCACGGCGTCAGGGGGTTTATAAAGTGCGGGCTGACCAGGAAGGGCATCAAGTACCAAGGATGTGGGGCTTGACCCAAGGACATACTGATCGCTCATCACCTCTGATCATGCAGCGCGCAGCCCCTCTCTGGTCTTTGGGAAAGTTCAGAGTTGCAGCCTCTTTTGCTTCAAGCCACAGGAGTGGATTTGCTGAGGAGAGGTGGAGAAAATAAAGTGATGTGGAAGACAGACTAACAAGGCTTGCAAGGAGAACAATTTGGGGTGTGTGGGGGGGCATTGGCTAGTGCAGATGAGCCTCACTGGGAAGTAAGGAGCTGAGATGAGGGAAATCAGGGGGCAGGAGATGTTTGTTGGAAGTACTTCCATTTGAGTGTGGATTTTATTCTATGGGCCCTAAGGAGCTATTGAATGTTCCTGAAGCCCATGGGGGAAAACGACCACGGCTGATTTGAGGAGGATCAATTAGTCAGCCAGGGGGCAGGAAGACAAGTTTGGAAGTAGGGATGTAAATTCTTGGTTCCTCTGTTAATTCTGGAGAAAGGTGTTGGACTGAGTGAGGCTGAGGGTGGAACCTGGGCAAGAATCTATAGCTCAGAATATAGGGATGGGAGAGGGAACGGAGGGGTTAAACATGAGCATGACAGGTCCTGGTCTCAGCCCAGGCAGAGAGTGAACAGCAATCAGGTCCCTGGGCCATGCGAGCCTGACTCAGCAGCTTCCAATCACCATCCTGATTAGAACACTCAGAGGCAAGGGGTGTGTCTGTGATTGTGTGCTTTTGCACTAATTAATTTACCCTCATCAGAGGAAGCAGTCCGAGTGCTCAGCCACCCCCTCTCCTCAGAGTTTGGAGACCAGGGCCGGATAAACCACAGGCCAAACTTTCTAAACTTCGGTGGTGTTGCAGGAAGGAAGAGGCGGGGATATTTGTTGTGGTGAATCACCGCTGTGTCTTCACAGATGCCCTGTGCAGGAAGACTGGAAATCAGAGATAAATTTCTGAGACTGCTTTACAACAACCCTTGAGAATCTCCTTTGTTTTACGTTCACCCGAAGCAGAGCCTCTGAACCATGACTGCTTTCCAAACAGCAGCCTCTGCTGCAAATCAAGACGGTCTTGCACCTGCAGGATGCAGGTGGCCAGAGGTGGCTCTGCATGAGCATCTGTCTTTCTCTGTCATACCTCGGGGTCCCCAAGTCAGCAGCAGCCACATGCCTTTGAGTCAGCTTTGGCCACAAAGGGAGAATATAGTTATCCCAGTAAATCAGAGCTCCACCCATGCCATCTGTTGCTTTACTGCTCACCCATTGCCAGCCAGTTGGGCACCCTTCCTCTGTGAAGTTATCCATCCTAGCCCTGGAGACCTCTTCCTCCTCTGACCTCTTGAAGACTAGACTCACTTGGTACTTAGTCTATATCTCCCATTTCTTCTCTTAAGATTTTTCTTTCTTTTTCTTCTTCAGGGTTGAGCCTATTCTTAGCTTCCCCCAATAAATTCATTCTTTGAGAGGAAGCATTGTGTCTATACTTAGGGTGACATATAATCTTTCATTGAAACCAGGACACTCCCAAGAGGGGTAGAGATGTTGCTGATGCCTGCTTATAATTGCTTGACTCTCACTGTTCTTACATGTTCTGGCGTTTTCTTACTGCAAGCCTGAGGCCTTTCTCTCTTCACTGAAGCAGGCTGGAAAGGCCTTAACCCACAACCCAGGAGCAGCCCACAGCCAGTGATGGACAGAAGTGTGTGCATGGGTATCCCATTTCCTCTGTTGGGACAACTCTGACGTGTGTCCTATGTGTCTCCCTGGGGTCTCCACTGGTGTTGAACCCCAGGTGCCCACAGCAGGAACCTGCTCATGAATAGACTCTGGATTGGCACCTTCCCTTCAATTCCCCAGCCACCTACCCTTACCTCCCAAATAAACTGTTTGCCTTCAGATCTTGGTCTCAGGGATAGTCCTGGAACAATAGGGATGCAAGGACTTCTTGGTC